TCTGTTTTACTCACTTGGCCAATTCAAACGTTAATCTCTTCTTGAGAAACCCTCACAGACACACTCAGAAATAATGTTTAACCAGCTGTCTGGGCATGCCTTGGCCCAGTCAAGTTTACACATAAAATTAACCATCACAGGATGCTTGTTATCCACGGCATGCAGTGAGAGTACAGGCAAGCAGCCACCTGCAGTTGATTATGAAGTGCCAATGAAAGCATGTACCTGGTGGGAACAAGTAGCTGCCGCACTTGACCATTATGTGCCACAGATGTATAATGGCATGGGATACATTATTTTTAGTGCGCTTGAGCATTTACAGTGAGAAAATGACAAGCCCAAGTCGCTTAGTTCAGTTCAAGTCATGGTCAGAGAACCTGAGAACTTCTGTGCTAGCTTAGAAGCAGCTCTTCTTTTTCTTGCTCTGTCACCCAGGCTGGAGTACAGTGGCGAAATCTTGGCTCACTGCAACCTCCACCCTCGGGGTTCAAGCGATTCTCCTGCCCCAGCCCCCCAAGTAGCTGGGACTACAGGTGCGTGCCACCATGCCCGGCTAATTTTTTTTATTTTAATAGAGATGGGGTTTCACCGTGTTAGCCAGGATGGTTTCAATCTCCTGACCTCATGATCCACCTGCCTCAGCCTCCCTGTAGGGTGACAGCCCTACAGGGTTGTGGGGTGTCCCCTATCGCTGTGCTGAGGTGCAGGATTCAAGAAATAAAGAAACAGGACACAGAAGTACAAAGAAAGCACAGCTGGGCTCAGTGGGACCACCCCACTTATAAGCAGAGACAGGCGAGGCTCCAAATGTCCAGAAACGTCTGTATTTATTGGGTATAGGTTAGGAGGCAGGGTAATGAGTTAAGTCATCTTTAGGATAGTGATAGGGTTGTGAGCAGTAAACAAGGGGTCCACCCACATTAGGTCACCGAGGCATGGAGGTGGGACATGCACAGTGAGGGGTTCACCCCCATTAGGTCACAGGGGCATGGAGGTGAGCTGTGCGCAGTGAAGAGGGTGCAGTGCGCAATATATATTATCTATGGGCATGCTACTTGTAAGGCTATCAATAGAAGGTTGCTCTGAGTCACACAGCAGTGAAAGAGTTGACAGGGTTACCGCCACCTGCTGGCAGCTTTCAATGAGTTCTATAGGAGGATGCTTTTGAGCCAGCACAGTAACATGAGCTGATAAAGTTCACAGTCACCAAGGTGGATTGCTGTTCTGAGGACAGCATTTCACAAGAACTGGAGCAAGGTCCTAGAGCTCCTTTATCAGGAGGAGTGGCTCTTGCCCCAAGCCTACCATAGAGCGGGTATCTTTACGATACTGAACGCTGCCGCCTGGACCATGGATTCTTGTCCTGGTATAACTGTTTTCCCTTTAAATCATGCTCTGCACTGTGTCTGCTCCAGACATTCCTCCAACTATAAGCTGCTTATTCCTTAATTCATTCTCTCTACTGTGTCTACTCTAGGCATTCCCCCGGCTATGAACTAAGATATAATTATATATGTATATATGGAAATAACTGAGTGGTAAGATATTCTTCAGGCACTCATCCTATAAACTAATATATGATTATATATAAAGGATTACATAAAAGGAAATAACTGAGTAGCAACACTATAAACTCAGATATTCAGGCACTAATTGTGCCGGGATTCTGTTTAACTTTCCGTCCTCGGTGTCTACATGGGGGGTTACCCACGCTCCCAGAGTGCTGGGATGACAGTTGTGAGCCACCCTGCCCGGCACAGCTCTTATTTCTTATAGCCACAATAATATCACTGAGAATCAAACACAAAACTTAACTGTAGAATTACTGAATAATAATGACAGCTAAATTTACAGTCCCAACAAATCTGTCATGTGAAAGTTACTGTATTGATTGGTAAAGAAGGTGATCCTGGCCAGGTGCAGGTGACTGTAATCCCAGTTACTCGAGAGGCTGAGTCACTTGAACCTGGGAGGTAGAGGTTTCAGTAAGTCGAGATGGCGCCATTGCACTTCCAGCCTAGATGAGCTGGAAGCAAGACTCCATCTCTAAAACAGAGAGAGAGGAAAGATACACATTATGACCCAGGAGGAAATAGCTTATACACTTAAATTATTCAGACTTTGCTAATATATACTAGCAGAAACCTGAGGGACAGATCCAAGAGTAGAATCTAGGGACAGCATACCAAAGTGGACAGAATATAAGAGATGAGATGAGGCCGGGAACAGTGGCTCACACCTGTAGTCCCAGCACTTGACCGAGGCAGGGGGATCATCGCTTGAGCCCAGAAGTTTGTTATCAGTTTGGGCAACATAGCTGAAACATAAAATACAAAAATTATCAGGGTGTGGTGGTGGGCACCTACAGTCCTAGCTACTCAGAAGGATGAGGTGGGATGATCACTTGAGCCTGAGAGGTCAACGCTGCAGTGAGCTGTGATCATGCCACTGCACTTCAGCCTGGGTGACAGAACAAGACTCTGCATCC